CAGCGGTTCTAATCTCACCGGCTCAAGGTCGACTCAGCCTTCCATCCTTCCGAGGTAGGTGAAATGAGGACCCGGACTTGGGGAGCAAGTTGCTGACTCAATTTGCTAAAAATTTGTAAACCGCTTAGAGAGGGCTGAAGGCCCTATGAAGCGGTATATAAGTCTAATAAATAAATAAATAAATAAATAAATTTCCTGGCCTGGATCATTCAACTTCCTAAGGATGCCCTCATACCATAGGCCTAAGCTGCTTGACTCCTATAAGTAAATGGTTGGAAATGAAGCTGGTAAGGGGAATCTCCCCCTAGATTTCAACCTGTTCTGCTTTGGTTATGTTACATTGGCAATGGACCTTTAACGGCTAGACTTGCCTTCTTTACGCCTCCCACCAAGGTACCACTCTCTTTCCTTGGATGGATCTTTGGGGGAAACAGGATTTCCACTAACAGACCACTGTGCTCTTACCATTTTCCTGTCATGTAGGTTGCCAAGGGAAAACAATAAAACCTTTCTCAATTTCACCTAGAGAGGAAAAGAAGGAACCACCATATCCCTGATTCACTGTGAAAGAAGAAGTCCAATTTCACTAGTCTACCGCTAAGATAAAGATGGTGCCCAGGGGGGGGGGGGGTTCCAGAGGTTCACTATCAAAGTTTCTTCAGAAGGGGACAGGCCCAGCAACCCAAGACAAAATGTCCACCAAGGGATCGATCAAGGGTCAAAGAGGAAAAGGAGAAGGCACTTCTGCCACATCACATAGTAGTGTTTGCACCACAATGAAATTAAGTGCAACAGATAAACCGGATAGCACCACTTGCGCCAACACAAATCAGAAAACATCATGACACAGCAGGAAAAGATAAGTAGAAGTTGTTTTCCAGTGGGTTGTGGGTGGGTAGAGGTTGATGACATGTGTTCCAGCCCTGAGCAATGGTTAGTCACCCATGTGGCCGGACAGGTCAGTCCGAGTGTCGTTTCTCTGGTTTTACTTTAGCACATTGCATAAGCTAACTGATTGTGGCTTATTTAACCACGGTTAAAGAAAGCAGGACAGAGTGTGTTGTGTGTTGACTGATCTGTCTGGAGCTGGAAGGAACATTACAGGTAGTTCTTGACTTACAACCACAACTGAGCCCAAAATCCCTGTTGCTAAGCAAACATCTGTTAAGTGAATTTTGCCCCAATTGTTAAGTGAACCACTGTAGTTCTTAAGTTAGTAACACAGTTGTTAAGTGAATCTGGTTTCCCCGTTGATGTTGCTTGTCAGAAGGTCGCAAAAGCTTACACATGATCTCGGATCACTGCAACTGTCATAAATATGAGCCACTTGTCAAGCGGCTGAATTTGGATCACATTACCATGGGAACCCTTCAACCGTCCTAAGTGTGAAAAATGGTCACAAGTCACTTTTTTCAGTGCCGTTACAACTTTGAACAGCCACTAAACAAAGTATTGTAAGTCGAGGACTACCTGTACCTGCTTCTTTACAGGAGCTATACATTCGTTCTTTGCAACAGGGCTATTTCGAGTAGAGTGTCAGCCAGACAAAAAAGGAGATATTGTTAAATCATTTGCATATTTACGTCTGTACTGATGGAACCTGAAGACCTTCATAGAGCTGCGGTGGCACAGTAGTGCCATACTGCAGGCTACTTTTGATTGCCAACTGCCAACAGTTCACCAGTTCGAATCTCACTAGGCTCAAGGTTGACTCATCCTTCCAAAGTTGGTAAAATGAGAACCCAGATTATTGGGGGCAATAGGCTGGCTCTGAAACAGCTTAGAGAGGGCTGTAAAAGCACTATGAAGCGGTATATAAGTCTAAGTGCTATAAACAGCCAGAATAACAAGAATTATAACCAGACACTTCTTTTAAATGGGAAACCAGGTAGACTCATAAGAGAAGAATACAGATAGTCCTCACTTAGTGGCCAAGAGCTGCGGTAGTGCAGTGGTTAGAATGCAGTACTTCAGGCTACTTCTACTGACTGCCAGAAGTTCAGTAGTTCGAATCTCAATAGGCTCAAGGTTTACTCAGCCTTCCATCCTTCCGAGGTCGGTAAAACGAGGACCCAGATTGTTGACTCTGTAAACCGCTCAGAGAGGGCCATAAAGCACTGTGAAGTGGTATGTATGTCTACGCGCTATTGCTTATTGCTGTATCCACGCTCTGTCTCGGCATCCTTGCACCTCAACTGCCTCCCAAACTACCGTTCCCAGCCTCTGCCCATTATCGGAGACGCGCATGCGGCGGCTGCTAAAAGTCAAACAACCAGTCCTTCCAAATGCAGAGCTAAAGCGCGGGTGCGGTTTCCAAAACTTGGGAGCGTAACGAGGGGTCGCTTTAACGTCACCAGCGCCTTTGACCTCGGAAATCGCGGTTGCTTTTACTTCTGCAGCTCCCCAGCCCGGGGAGGACAAAGCCTGACTACGAATATCCCCTTCCTTTGCAAGATCTACTCCCAAGGCCGGGGCTCCCTTAGATGTAAAGGGAAAGGAAGCCCTTTGCTCTTTATGGACGCCATGCAACGGAGCTGCCCGGGGATATTCCCTGGTGGGACGGCACCTGGTTCCCTCCCTCCCCCAAATGTCCTTTAACCAGCCCCTTCTGCAGCCAGAAACCAAAGGAAGCGGCGCAGGATGATTCAACCATCCAGCAGTACATTTGCGCCCCGCTGAACTCACAATCCGGCGTGGCTGCGACGGGGTAGTGCGGGGCAGGCGTGGGTTTGCTCTTGCTGATTTCCCGGTGCGCTCGGTTTTCCAGGTTAAACTTGCTAAGCACGCGGGTCACCCTGGCGCCCATCGCACCGGCTCACAATGTGTCGACGGGGAGGTGTCAGTCTGGCCTTTGCGCAGAAGACCGCCGATCGGAGCGCAGGCCGCGGCCGAGGGCGCCGCTTAGTGGTGCGGAGGTCGGGTTGTTTTCTAAAACAGAAAGTCGCTTTTTTTTTTCCTTTGTGGAAATCCGAAGCTGTCGCTCGTCTTGTTATCAACTTGAGCCCGACCCTTCTGTGATATTTCCCCCATCCCCCGTGTGAATCAGGAAGGTGCGAGCTCGAAACTTTGCAATCCAACTAGGGTTGGGAAGACACAGACGATTGGAAAAGAGGACACACACCGTTTATCTTTCTGGGCGTCCATGACAAGTATTACAGCGAAAAACTGCAGAAGGAAGGGAATAGAATGGAATAGAATTCTTTATTGGCCAAGTGTGGTTGGTCACACAAGGAATTTGTCTTTGGTGCATATGCAGTCAGTGTACATAAAAAGACATAAAAAGATACATTTGTCAAGAATCATAAGGTACAACACTTAATGATTGTCATAGGGTACAAATAAGCAATCAGGAAACAATCAATTCTATTCATTCTATTTTCTATTGTATTTTCNTAGTATAGTATAGTATAGTATAGTATAGTATAGTATAGTATAGTATAGTATAGTATAGTATAGTATAGTATAGTATAGTATAGTATAGTATAGTGAGCTGAAAACCAGCAGGAAAATAACTTGGTATTACAATGTTCAGGTTTGCAATCTGCAATTGAAAACCGGAGCAGAATCTGGCTACTATATTTAAAAACAAAATGGCTGCATTTTGACATATTGAAGAGTCTGGTATTTGTCATTCTGCCTCCTGGGATTCAAGTATAGAAAGGCTTTATTTTTATCTTGAAGTAATCAAAATACATCTGAAAAAAACCAAGCTTTTTTACTGACTGTCTGTAAGACCCAGACATTGACTAGCGTAAAAGCACTCACTGCTTCTGCTTCATCATAGTCGCACACTTTTGATGAACTTGTGAAATTACTGAAGGATCATTTCCTGCCTGCATTGTCCATCATTCTACAGATATTTAAATTTTATGGGCAAGTTCAATAACCCAAGAAAAGGTACTCTTGCTAATATCACAGAGCTATGGAATCTATCTCAATGTTGTGATTTGGGGGAGTTTTTAGAAAATACGCTAAGAAATCAGAAATAACAGAATAACAGAGTTGGAAGAGGTCTTGGAGACCATCTAATCTAATCCCCTGCTCAAACAGGAGACCCTATACCATTCCAGATAAATGGCTATCCAGTCTCTTCTTAAAAGCCTCCAGTGATGGAACATCCACAATTTCTGAAGGGAAGCCATTCCACCAGTTAATTGTCCTCATTGTTAGGAAATTTCTCCCTAGTTCTAGGTTAGATCTCTCCTTGATTAATTTCCATCCATTGCTTTTTGTCTTGCCTTCTAATGGTTTGGAAAATAAGTTGACCTCCTCTTCTTTGTGGCAGCCCCACAAATATTGGAATCTCTCAGATGTGGGCCTTATCATGAAACAGAAACTTTTGTCTGAATCAAAACTGAAAATTTCCCCCTTGCAATTGTGATAAGAGAATAAAAGTTCACTGTCTCTGTGATGTGATTTTAAAATTTTCACTGAACACAAACCACTTTTGAGAATATTAAGTCTTCACTTTTAATATTGCCATGTTTTATGCAGCACTGCTTATGACTAAATGCTTGTTTCTAAGCCAGGACAAATGATACCCAATGGCTGATGCTTTGAGTCACCTCCCACATCAATGCCAAATGCCATCAGCAATGAAAATCTTAACACTGGTGGTCATTTATGACCCACCACCTCAGGCTGACAAAATTGAAAGACTGAGCTGTCAAATTAGCTTATATCGTAAACTGGTTATGGAAGAATTGACCATTCCACTTAGATTTTAAGCCATTCAAAAATCTTCATCATCAGATATCTGCCCATAAAGTGTTTCATTGGGAAATTGTGTTGTTATTACAGAAGGGGGTTATTTAATCACTCTAGGACATGGATGTCAAATTAGGCACATCACGTTGCTGTCATGTGTGTTTTGTGATGTTTTTCCCATTTGTGGGACTAGTGTGGGCGTGGCCTGCATGTGATGCATCCAGCCCATGGGGCACCAGTTTGACAACCCTGCTCTAGAAATACTGCATTGAACACCTCCTGGAGTAATTTGCATGGAAGCTTTGGAAGTTATGTTTGGTGGTCAGAAATTGACTTGAATATTGAAAATGAATCCAAAAGACATACATAATTCTCTGGGATGAGACCAAGAAGCTTTTGATGAAATTCCATATTGTCTTTGTGGAACCATTTCAAGAGAGATGTGGAAAAGTCCTCACTTTGGTAGACTCTTATTTAAAAAAATGGTTTTAGTGTCATCTTAAACATCCACCACAATAATAGCAGCAGTGCACCACTTATTTGCATTCCAAGGATTGCTCAACACTATTATCTGTGACAATAGAGATCCATTTACATCAAATGAGTTTAAAGATTTTTTTAAGACAATAATAACCATATCAGAGTCATAACTGCTGCATCTAATCATCCTCAAGGATGGTGCAAAAAACTAAGGATTTACTAAATGATTTGTTGGAGGAGACTACCCTGTATGGCAGGTTAGCAGAAACCTAACCTTGTACAAATTCCTTGCTCAACAACTGGAGTCAGTGTACCACATTATTGATGGGATCATGGCTGTTAGGAATATAATCTAACGGTTGGGTTGGTAATATATAAATCATGTAAAATGCTATACCTGTTCCTTTAAATCATGCTATAAATGTGATTGGTTGCTGCTTCCTCAACTGGCCATAAGATGGAGCCAGAATCACTGTTAGATGCTGATCTGATCTGATCTGAGGGTTTTTGGAAGCTGGCAGTTAGATGTGCCATATTGTGATCAGCGTGAGCTATTGTAAGTTTTGCAACAGCTAGCAAACTTTGTGTACCGGACTGTTTGTATGATTATGGACTATGCTAGTTGGATTATCCCCTAACTGAAAGACATTGATGTCTGACTGTCTTAACCGTGTATGACCTGGATTGTGTTTGATGGACTCTGATACCTCTATTTCGACGAAAGTAAAAACCTAATTAAACTGCAGTGTCTCTGTATGCTGGTTTGTGTGTTCTCTAACAACACTCTCACAATGCTTCTCTGAATGTACTTACCCTCCCAATGGGAAGCTTACCTAACAATGGCTATAAATCTACTTTGACCATCTCCATTGAAATCTTAGTTTACAAAACAAACAGGAATTTGCCCTGGAACTGCTTATTTAATGATATAGTAAAACAGTGGAATACCCATGAGGGACAGGAAAAAGAATCACTACCAAGAGAAAATGAGATGAAAGAAATCTGATTCCAGACTTAGTGTTTCATACAAGGCTTTTCCTAGTTCTCCTTTAAAAAAGGAGGAAGGGAAGAATTTCATTCAGATTTGCAAGATTCTATTACTATTCTTTCATAATAAAAGTAATTTTGGCTTCCATGACTTTGGCTTCCTAGTCTGGTCTATTTTCAGGAGCTGAAAAATTCCTACACTTTATGTCAACTGAACAGGTCTTTGCAAAGAGCAATTGGTCCAGAGCCAAATGAATTTCCTTCACTATCATAAAGTTCACAGGACCTGTGTCATGTGCGATTCTCAGTGTAGAGACAGCCAGAGGAACAGAGGAATGAACTTAAAGGCATTATTGAACATAAATGTGGAAAGAGTCAATCAAATAAGAAGAAACAAATGAAAACAAACTGGATGTCAGCGCAAACTGCCAAAAACAAAAGAAAAGCCAAAGCCGAGAAAGACAAAAATCTCAGGAACAACTTAATGAAAAAAATTCATAGCACTATTAGAAGAGAGAACAAACAATATTGCAGCAATAAATGTCAAGACATTGAAGTTGTAAACAGGCATGGAAAGACAAAGAACAAACCTAACCCTAACCATTTTAGATGCGAGGTAAGTGCAGGGCCCACACGGAGGCGGGGGGGGAAGAGCCTCCCACAAGCCCTCCGGAGCTTGGGGGAGGTGGTTTTTGCCTCCCAAAGGCCTTCCCAGAGCCTGGGGAAGGCAAAAGCAGCTCCCGCCATGGTGCAGGAGGCTGACTAGGCCGTGCTCACCATGGCCACACCAGTGGTGGGTTCCAGATCCCGTTGCACCCTGTATGGTGCAACGGGGCCCGGCATCCTCCACATGAATGTGTGCAGCGCGTGCATGCATCCTTATCTTCTGTGACGCTCTGCAACACTCCATGACACCTCCGCGATGCTCCAGCTGCTCGGTGGAGCATCGCACAGGGACTGTACACTCCGTGCACGTGCTTACCTATAAGAACCTCCAATACTAGGAGATGAAGTTCAGTCCCCTGGTCATTACCATGTTAGAAGGCTACAGGAACTGCTGGAATACCCACTGAAATATGACAAGCATCAGAAGAAATATCAGTCAAAGTTCTAACCAAGAGCCTTGAATGTATCTGAAGAAAGATACAATGGTCAACCAAATGGATTCCAAAAACAAAAAGTTAATAAAGTGAGTAAATATATGTAAAGATATGGTACAATGTCTTTATTTTCATATGCTAGCAAAATAATGCATAATATTATCCAATGCAGATTCAATTCTTACATGGAAAAAGAGATGCCAGATGTTTAGAAAAGAGCAAGGCTGGCTATAGAAAAGAGTAAGGAACACATGCCATTATTGCTGGTGGTTGCTGCATGATTGATAAAGACAAGAACGTCCAAAAGAATCCACTATTTACTCAATTAATCAAAGAAAGGTTTTTCATTGTGTCAAGCGGCAGAATGTACTTAAAAATTGGGACTTCAGAACTTTTCATCATCCTTATACAAGCCTATATACTGATTGTTCAGACAGAACATGGCAAAACACTCTTGGCTCTTAATTGGCAAATGAGTGACACAATCTGCATGTGCTTTCCTTACTTATTCAATGTACATGCTCAATATATATTAAGAGCAGCTGGGTTTGAGGAAGATGAGCACAGATAAAGCATTTGTGACTGGAAAAAGGAACATCAATAACCAGCAATATGCTGATGATACTACTCTGACAGTTGAAAATAAAAATAAACTCTAAGCTCTAGGAAGAAGAGTCAGAGCGCAAAGTGAAAAAAGGGTTTAAAATGAAAGATTAAAAAGGTCCAACTAATGACAACAGATAAGCAAGTAGCCTTAGAATTGACAATGAAAATATTGAAACAGCTGATAGCTTCTGCACTTTAGAATCAATCATCAATAGTAAAAGAACGAATGAAATTGTAAGTTGCTCAAAGTCACCTCAACTGTGATGGGCTGCATTTAAATTTAATTAATAAAATAATAAAATAAAATAAATAGAGAAGAGGAGAGAAGAGAAATCAATAAATATGCTGCCAGCTAGCACTTGGTTGAACAGCCAGGCAGGTCTTGGAAAAGAGTATTCAGATACTATGATGTGTCTGCAAAGATCATAATAGTGCAAGCCATGGTATTCCCTTTGACATTCTATGGAAGTGAATGTTGGATTTTTAAGAAGAGGTTAGAAATAAAATTGATTCCCTTTAGTGTTAGAGAAAACTCCTGAGCCAAGAAAACAAACAAATGGCTCATTGAACAAATCAACCTGGAGTTCTAATTCAAGGTACAACTGTCCCAGCTGAAGTTATCATATTTTGGACATATTATGCAAAATCATACTTCTCTTGAGAAGCCCCTTCTCAAGGTGGGAAAGGAGGGGAAAAAAGAAGTTAACCAGTAGCAAATGTATGAATTCAATTGAAATGGTGTTGGATGCACTGTTGGAATAGTTGAAGGATCAGGTAAGGGATGGATCATTTTTGGGGAGTGGGGGAGGCAACAAGTTAATGCTGACTTGGTGCCACATAATCAATCCTAGAGATCATGGTATTTGTGTCATATAACTTTCAATATACAGATAGACTAGTTAATCAGGCTGATGGCATGTTGATCAACTGAAAAGACATTCTTCACAGAATGAGTTGTCAATCATATTCTCACAGAAATGTGATACAGACAGTGGTCTGTGGGAGTGAGAGGAGTAAGAGCTGCAGCCTAGACAATCAGCATGGAAAAAGTATTTCAGCCCACAAAAGGAATTAGGGATAGGGAAAACATCTCAAAAGGGACCACCACCACCACCACCACCCGTCCCTGGCTTTCTCAAAAGTAAAAGTAAAGGAGTAGAGAAGCACTTTCAGACTTGCAAGATTCTGTATTTTAGCCTTACAGTAAAAATAGTGTTAGTACTCATGGACTGTGCCTCTTGTCTGGACTATTTCAAAAGGCTGACATTATATTGGTTTGTCTGCTAGTTTGTTTATTTCATTTGTTTCATTTCTATAGCTGCCCAACTGAACCAAATGACTTTTGGCATGTTTCTGAAGCATTATTTGGTTGATATTGATAGAGCAGAAGTGGCACAGTGGTTAGAAAGCAGTACTGCAGGCTACTTCAGCTGACTGTTAGCTGCAATTCAGCAGATCAAATCTTACCAGCTCAAGGTTGACTCAGCCTTCCATCCTTCCAAGGTGGGTCAAATGAGGACGCAGATTGTTGGGAGCAATATGCTGACTCTGTAAACTGCTTAGAGAGGGCTGTGAAAGCACTATGAAGCGGTATATAAGTCTAAGTGCTAATGCTAAATAAAATAAACATTCAAACATTCAAACATTCAA